ATTTTTGTGAATACTTGAGTAAAGGTGGTGTTGGAAAATCTTCAACTGTGAATTCAATCATAGGGGAAAGAGTAGTTACTGCTGGAGCTTTCCAGGTATCTACTTAGTGAATTAAATAGATAAGAATTAAAAAAATAACTTTCAGACTTCTCCTTTAGTTGCAGGAAGAAACTCCAATTATTTCAGCACTTCTTACATGCTATCTTAGCTTCTTTGTTTTTATGTTGCAGCAGGATGTTTATTGTTTTTCTACTTTTTGTGTCAGGAGCACATGTCTTGACAACCGGAAAAAGGGAGTATTAACATTTTTGTTCCTCCAATATTCTCAAGATTGTGTTCACACTAATTTCAAAGCCTATAAGTAGCTACTTTCAGGTCCGTAAACAATGAAGGCCCTTATGATAGTTCAAATGATACCCAAGTTGTAAATGTTCAATCTGCCAATCCTATAGCCACAATAGCCCCAACAAATTGTGACATGAATTGTGCAACTATTCTTGAGAAGGAAACGACTGATACCTCTGCTCGCCAACGCCACCGTGCCTTCAAACATGATGAACCCTCGGTGGCTACCTGTAACAAGGCGGTAACCGGGAATGTAGCTCATGATCTGATTACGTGTGTCCAAACCGGAATTCAAGATCTTCTTTCTAATCCTAGCACTTCAGATACTACACCGGCCCCAAAACTGTCCTGTGATGAAATCATTTCTGAGGATAGCCTATTTTTAACTCTTTCTGTTTCATGTAATAAAGTAATCCCACCTGCGAGAGTTTTTAATTTAAGAGGTTCAATAGGTCCAGAAAAACTCTCATTCTCACATTTTTTTGCTTATACTTGACCGTGGAGATGCCAAGTGTACTGCGTATGGCAGCTGTATGCAATGTCCAAATTGTATGATTTTAGTTATTATTATAACATATCCTAGCTTATTAGTAATTTAGTAACATATACAGCAAACCTACTCAATGAGTAAGTTGAAATTTTATTTATTGAGATAAGTGTGTTAAGAATGTAGTTTTCACTAATTAGGATTGTCTGTAGTATGATGATTGAAATAGTTATCATTATTATTTTTACAGACTTCAGTGACGGTGTGATGAACAGTGATAGCTGGATTTTTGCTAAGCTCGTATGCATCATGGCGGTTAAACAAATGGCTGGAAGGACATAACATTTGGATGCTTGTGATGTACTTTATGTGTTTCCAGAACCTATGTAATGACTACTTTATGTTTGCAGCCCTATGTAGCTAGACTAGAATTCAAGAATATTGGTATTTTGGATTTTGCTTTGTTTCCAAGAACAAGTTAACTTATCTTTGAATTTTCATGTTCACTTTGATTTGAATCTAAATGACAATTAGTTAGTTATGGGATACTTTTATTATGAATTTGTTTTATATTTGTCTACAAGCTTAAAAATTAAACTTTTAGGTGGATATGGTGGTACAAAGAAAGTATTAAAATTGTTCAATAGTTGATACTATAGTATCATAAATCTGGATGGCGCAAGAGTATCATAGGTTTTTGTAACATTAGTGATATCACTAATTTATATGATATCAAAGTGTCGTTAAGTATAACAATGCAAATGTATCACTATATTTTATGATACTAACGTGTCACAATTTACTGATACTTTTTAGTGACACATTTTTTAGTGTCAGAGTTCCAACCATTCGTTGACACTTTTCTGGTGTCACTAAAACTTTTAGTGACACTAATTTAGTGTCACTATAGACCATTTTTCTACTAGTGCTTGCCCGTTTTGTGTATAGCGAGTCATGTTGCTTTGTATGGGTACGGTGACTGACTCTAAGTCTATTCCAAGGGCTTACAATCGGATCTGTAATATCTGTCTGGATTTGGTGTTGCGTGTTTGCTCTATTTTAATGAAAAACCGTTTTGATGATAAAAAAGATCTTTCTAATGAACAATCAGTCAATTGTAGTGTCATGTATTTTGTTGAAGTTTCTTCTTCACCATTTCAAGTTTATTAAACAGGAGTAAGATTCACCATTCCCACTGAGTCACATATGGAACTTATAGAAACAAAACTCTCGCTGTCTTTGTGTGTAGTGGGTATCTCCTCTTCATTCAGGTTAATGGAATCTACCTCTTCAGGTCTTTTCTTCTTCCACATGATTTCTTTTAAGATTGTTTTTTTTATATGAAGGAATTTTCACAATGACATCGAAAAAAGTGAAGTTTACAAAATTTTTCTTAAAGTAGTTCAGGAAACTTTTGAACTTTTCGTTTTCAGGGTCCCGTGTTAGCCTTTGAGGATATGGAGTAGGGGGTCTTATGGTGATACATTTGGGAGCGGTGCTAGTGGTTCTTTCTTGCATGAAGAAGGCCTTAGGGTGGGTTGTTCATCTTCTTCAATAATAAAATCTATTTAGACAATCTTCCCGATTCAATAGAATTTCTTGTTGAAGTAAATTGATAAATCTGTACCTCAAGATTATGAATGGAGCTCTTTGTATATTGCTCAAAGTTGTTCATCCGCTGGTTTCACTTCTTGTTTTGATCTTCAACTCGAAGGTCAAACTTAGTAAATTGGAAAAGGAGGTTCCCAATAGAGGCTTCAACTCGGTCATGGTTGACTTCATTTTGAGCCTTTATGCAACCAACATTTTGGTGAGGATTTTCGTCATTTGCTCCATCGTTGGTTCTCCTCAACTGTGATTTCAAATCATTGCTTTGATTCCATCGTTGTTGATTACTATTGGAATAAGTATTGCTTTGTTGGTTTTGGCTACAATATGAGTTCATAAAACTCACTTCTTCAACAACTGTGAAGAATTACCTACTGTTTCTGCAGTGTTCTCCACATTGGTAACCTTTTTGACTTCTCCAATTTGCAAAGCTGCTTGAATCGAAAGTTGTAGGTTGCGTGTATGATTTGTTGAAAATTAGCTAACCGCTAACTTATGTGGCTCGTGAGTTATGGAGACTTCATTTACAACGGCAACCTTGATATCTACCCCTCAAAATTGAGGATTTGAGACAATAGATTCACATATTCTAAATGCATCAACTTCATTCTTGTTCCCGATACACTCCTTCGATCTATGATCTATTATGGCTTGACAAGAGGGATTCAACCCAAATGTATCCATTTGAAGGTCAAGAGGGATTCAGTGATATGTGCACTCCCACAAAATTGACTTAAACGCTTCCACGCATCTTCAAATAGTTCTCCAACTTACTTAAACGCTTCCACGCATCTTCAAGTAGTTCTCCAACTTATTGTTTGAATTGAAGATTTGTTGTCTCAACTCTCATGTCATTATTGGTGTTTAGTATTTGGAGAGGAAAATGTCTTAAATACATTCCCATATCATGTAGTGTAGATCGTCGGTGGTTGTTCAAGAAGTCACCCCTCTAAAATGGATTCTCTCCCCGGGTAAGCATGGAATTGAGGCCGATAGACGTGGTCACCGGGACTTTGGTCACTGTAAGAGAGTCACTAGTCATTATAGCGTTGTTATTGTAGTTTTGTCACTTTGTCATTGTAGCGTCGTCACCTTAGTTGTCCTGTTAATCCATTTCAGTCACATTTTTAAAACATAAAAATAATATCATTTTTATTCATGAGAAAAGGTACAAATATACCCATGAAGTTTATGTGGAAGTGCATATATATCTCTGAACTTTTAAAAGGTGCAAAAGTATCCCTCATGTTCTTAAAAAATAAAATAAATCTTAAAAACCCACAAAAATAAATAATAAATTCTAATTTAAAAAATAAAAAATTAAATAGTTAGACATAAATATTTAATATTAAAATATTTAATATTTAATTTCAAATTGCCAAATTATTATTTATTCATTGTAAATGACGCACTTCAAATTGATGAATACTAATTTTAATCTTGTTGTGAAATTTTGAACACATTATTACATTTTTGAGATAACATTCTTTGATTTTGTTTAACCTTAATAAAATCAAATTCACTATTTTGTAATCTTGGACTATTTATCATCATACAAAATATGTAATTTTATAGTTCAAAGAATACAAAAAAATAATGTTTTTTTTACATTGCAACACATATATTTACACTTTCTCCGAAAGAATCTTAAATATATAGTAAAGTTTTGGAATAATATTTTATACGAATAATATTAAATTGTGATATAAAAATAATAAAAGAGAGAATTAGACACAAGTAGATTTTTATTATTTTTTTTTTAATTTCAAATTTATAATTTTTTTTGGTATCTTTTGAAATTTTTCTCTATTTAAAGTCAATAAGAGTAAATTTTCTCATTTTTAGGAATCTTGAGAGGTATTTTTGCACATTTTTAAATGTTCAGGAGTATATATGCATTTCTGCATAAACTTCAGGAGTACATTTGTTCCAAAAAACAGAATAAAGATGTATTTATTCCCACACTCATACTATAAGGATATATTTGTACCTTTTCTCTTTATTCATTAATTAATTTTTAGCAATATCTTGTCCTAACCCTATATTTATTCGACTTTATTTTGGTCCAGTCAATACGATTCAAAATCAAGGAAATGGCCTATATAATTTTTTTTTTGAAAGAATCATAATACAATTATGGGAAATTGAAATTAATAGGTTTTAGAATTCTAAAATAAGACTGCTATGTTTTTCTTTTTGAAATAGTAATCATTATTGTCATGGTTGAAAAAATATACTCCCCCCGTCTCTCAATACTTTGCCATGTTTGACCGTCACGGGAAATAATAAAGTAAAAACTGTGTGGTTGAGATATGTGCAGAGGAGAGAGAAATGACAGGAACCACAAATTCATTGATTAAAAGGGAAAGTGTCAAAGTTTTTGGGACATCCAAAAAAGGAAAGATGACAAAATTATAAGGGACGGAGGAAGTATTATCAAGTGAATAATGTCATGTTAAATGCTTTGTATTACAATTATTTAACAATAACGACTAGAAAATAACAATAGATAATGCCATGTAATTCTTATATTTTGGAATTCCTATTTACTTCGGAAAATCAGAAATCTACTTGCAATTATTAGTCGGAGTACTCAGTAATTTTTTAGGAAGGTAAAGTAGGGCTGGTGACCCTGCTCCCAGAAAATCTGCATCCAAAAACCCTAACAACTCGCCACCCGCACTCCCGGTTCCAGCTCCGGCTTCCGATTCCGCCGTCTCGAGCTACGTACAGAAACCTGTCGCACACACCTCTGTCTCTCCGGTCAGATTCGTATCCAGGTATGCATGTAGCTGATTACAATACACTTTGTCATGTACGCAGGTGTTCATATTTTGTTTTTATACAATTAGAGTGGCACGAGATCCTAAATCTACTTCTGTCTGTATGCCAGGGTTTTGGAGGCGTTCTGAGTTGAGATTGAAAGGCGATGGCAGCGCAGACAGTCGCTGAGGCGGTGCCGGTGGAACAACCACCTGTTTCTCCCCAAGTTGTACGTTTTTTTTGCTTTGTTAAACACGAGCGTACGCTTGGAGCAGATAGATAAACTTTCTAACTTATTAATGCCGTTGAATGTGTGCATGCTTTGATGACAACAGGTGGGAAATGCCTTTGTGCAGCAGTATTATCATATACTTCACCACTCTCCTGAGCTGGTATTCAGGTTTTACCAGGATGGAAGTAAGCTTGGGCGACCTGAGGAAGATGGGACTATGAGCATCACTACCACAATGCTCGTAAGTCTTTTCCACATCTGATCGATGCCAATTTTTATCGAATTACCTTTTGTCTTTTACTTTGGTTTGGAATCCTTTTGGGTAAGTCACGTACTATTTTCTCCATAGTCCTCTCTCCCTGCTTGTTAGCCGTTGCCTTGCTAAAGTCAATGTCTCTTTGTGTGGGTGCATGTGAAAATTTTGCAGGAAATCAACAACAAGATACTCTCTCTTAACTATGCAAACTTTAGTGCAGAGATTTTTACTGTTGATGCTCAGGAGTCTTTCAATGGAGGTGTATCTGTCCTTGTTACAGGATGTTTGACTGGGAAGGACACCATCGTCAGAAATTTCTCCCAGTCTTTCTTTCTAGCACCACAAGACAAAGGGTTCTTTGTGTTGAATGACATGTTTCGCTTCATCAAAACTTCCAATCAGGATGATAAAATTCATTATATTCCAGCGGCAGATGCGGAGACTAACGTTCCTATTGAGCAAACGAGTAATTGAAATAAGCTTTTAATGAATTGTTTTTATGTGTCATAATGTATTGTAGGTATTGATTGATTTTACATGTTGCTTACAGATCCTCTTCCAGCTCAAGAAGATCTCATTTTCGAGGAAAGCATTCCATCAGCAGAAGAAGTGAATGAGGGAGAAGTGTTTAATCCACCTGAGGAAGAGAGTGTACCAGTTATTGAAGAGGATGAGCCTGTGGCTGAGGTTGTTAATGAACCCCAAGAAGTTTCAGAAGTAGTAGTCGAGCCCCTCACTGAAATGGAAAAAATCTCTAAGAAATCTTTTGCTAAGATTGTAAGTGACCACTCACAATCTTCAAATTACTATTTTCTAACGTCCATATTATTATGCTTTTCATGTAGAGGCTCATGTTGCTAATGTTCATGTAATGACTAATGTGTCTAAATTAGCTTAGGTGCACCTGAATGGGCATTGATGTTTTATTTGGGGGGGGGGGGGGGGGGGTCTCTGCAGTTCCTGGCTGCATTTCAATGCATGTTTACTTTTATGTGTGATAAAGTTATCTAACATTGTCAACTTTATTAATGTGTCCATCACTCGATTGTGGAGAAAATGATTAAATATACCCATACAAATATTTTACGCATTGGCAGTCGCAATAAAAAATAAATAATGAATAATGAACATGTGAAAGTAACTTGATCGTTTTTAATTATGCCTGGTTGTATTGGGGTGTTAAAAGAATTGCTGTATGTGGAGTTTGGACACTTTTTAGAATGAGGAGCGTTGTGTGTACTATCATTTAATCAATTTATGATTTTACCACCCTAATCAAAGTGAATCAAATTTGTCTATGTTGGCTTCTAGAAAGTATGGTCTAGCCGTATAGCTTGGATAATTTCCTCACGCACATGCATTAAATCTTCCATGTCTAATAACAGTTAGGTGGTGTTTCAGGTCATTGAGCTCAGGGAAAGTGCTGCTACTTTCTCCCAACCTGCTGCCCCTGCCCATCGCAATCCCTTGGTAAAGAATACCGAGAGAGTGAACCAGCTGCCAGCACAACCAGCTGTTGTTCTTGACAACTCAGCATCTGTTGGTCACATCAATAACCAAGAGGGAGAAGGCATGCTTCACTTATTGTCACTCTTCTATCTTTATTTCAAATATTCCCATTCCAACCCCATTCATTGACCTTTAAGTGGTTTTGATTTTATTTTTATTTAACAAATTTGTTTACCTGGAACAGCTGAAGGTTATTCTATTTACCTAAAAGGCCTGCCTATGAGTGCAACAGATTCAATTCTAGCCGAAGAATTCAAGAAATTCGGAGCTATCAAGGATGGAGGCATCCAAGTCAGAAGTCACCGAGTACGTAAATGCTGCGTTGTTGTTTTTTTAAGAAAATAAAAGTTTAAATATGTTTTTATTCCATCACCGGTGATGACAACCTTCGTTTGACAATGAAGCAACATCGACCCATATATTTTCTTGATCTCTTTGTCATGTTATTTAAAAATGATTTTTTACAAGGTTTTTAATACATATATTTAAAAATGTGAATAATTTGTTTTCCATTGTTTAACTGTCATATTAGTCTAAAAACATAAAAAATAAATTTAAAAGTTTCTAGTAGATTGATGCAACTGTTTGATGCAACTGGCAATAATTCTTTTTCTAAATAGAGAGGTTTTGGAGTTACACATGGACTGAAATAAATTAGTGCATATTGCACAGATGAGAAACAAAATAAATATTTTACAGGGAATTGAAACAAAGTGTCTCATATTTGCAGGGACTAAAAACATATTTAAGCCGAAAATAAATTATGCCTTCTTTAAATGCTATAACATGTGTATGTTTTTAGCAACAGGGGTTTTGTTTTGGGTTTGTGGAGTTTGAAGAGGCAGGTGCTGTGCAAAAAGCAATTGAGGTGCCCACTTCTTTCTGCAATTATACTATTTTCAATGGTTCATGGTTTAAATATGGGTTCATGTAGTTGATGTAAAGAATGTGATTATAGTTTAGATCACAATTACGTGTAATACTGCAAATAATTTCCATAATGAAATATTATTTATTCAATTTGGAGAACACTTGTTTCAACATGTCCATATGGAGCATAATGTTGAAAGTGTCACATGTTTGGTTTTATGGAGTGAAATAGTCAACATTTCCAAAGATTTAATCTTTTACTACAACTGTCAGCTATCAACATGTTATATGGAGTACTATATATATGCATGTGTATGTGTGCAATCATGTATATGGATGCATGTGTGTGTGGTGTATATACATATTCTGAATCATTTGTTCAACATTTACATTTTTATATTCAGATTTTGGGTTTACATAATTAATGTGCTCAGTGTAGATATTGACATATAGTATATTTTGTGAACTATAATAAATTAGCATCCATTAAAATAATGAGACATAATAAGATTGAGGAGATAAGTATTAGCTGCAATATATATAGTAAGAATGGAAAAGGGAAACTAGGAGGGAAAATATACATATGGTGTAAATTAGCAAGCATAAACATAATGAAGCACAATACGACTGAGGTGATTAATATTAGGAGCAGCATATACAAAGACTGGAAAAGGGACAGTTGGACAGAATATATGCATAGATGGCAGTAATATCAGAAAATCAAGCTAAAAAATTAATGAAGGTAATCATTTAATTATTAATACACTATTAACAATTATAGCTAACCTCAAGGGTACGGGAAAAGATGGTAAAGAAATAATGAATGGTTGCTGATCACGTCCATAGAATTATATATTGCCACTTTTCTGTGTGTGGAAACTTTGATGAAATTTGTCATCTTTCTTATTCTCTATGTCATTTTGTCTTTGATTTATCTAAGCCTTTCCGCATGCATGATTTTTCCTTCTAAGAGTTTTAGAAACCAAGGGCTTGTGGAAGGGGATACAAGTTACATTTGTGAAGATTTGCAGAGCCCAAGTGCTTGTGGAATTAGAATATCATGTCATGTCACAAATGCACCTTAAGATCGCAGAAGTGTTGCATATTCCATCACATTGCTTGTCTATTCCCCTCCCATTCATATCATCTATGAGTATTTTTTACACCTTTCTTCTCCAAGTAGCGTTTTAATTTTATTTGTCTACTTCACATACAGGCTTCACCTATAGTAATTGGTGGGCGCCAAGCTATTGTTGAGGAGAAAAGATCTACTAATTCACGAGGCAAGTTAACTATATTCTATTTGACATACAACTTGTTCTATACAGGTATAATTAGCATGCAATGGTAGCAACCTAGCAATTATGAAATATTGATATGCTAAGCTCCTATCCAACATTTGAACCCCTGGGCAGTGTCAGAGTTGGATTCATTGTTATCTTAGAACTTAGGAGTGTGTGAGGTTCTCAAATCACAATAGTTTTATGCATGTAGTTCATTTTTTACTTTATCCATTTCCTTCGTCTAAAAGAAGACTTGTTTTTAATAGAAGCACAACTTTAATGTTTGCAATGCACAACTTTTAAGTCATGTAGTCCTACACACACACACACACACACACACACACACATATTTAAAAACAATTCAACATTTTGGGTCTGGAGGGAATAGTTTTTGGTGCCATTACCATGATCTAATATTGCCAAAAGTAATTGAGTTTTTATTCTAACTTCTAAAGAATAATAAGCACACTCTTTATCAGCTGGCACATGTATTTGTATATTAAAATACCCCCACCCCCAATAGGTAGCAATAGAAGATTCATTTCAGGAAGGGGATCTGGATTCAGAGGCGACTCTGGATTCAGAGGCGACGCTGGATTCAGAGGCGACGCTGGATTCAGAGGCGACTCTGGATTCAGAGGTGAAGGAGTTAGGGGGCGTGGTAACTATGGAGGTGGTGGGGGGAACAACAGGGGATACAACAACAGGGGGGGAGAGTTCAACGGTGGCCGGAATGAATTCAACAACCGGAATGGCAGTGGCAATCGTGGAGGATCTGCAAACCGTGGAAATGATGGATACTATTGGTCAGACAGTGCTGTGAACAACCATGGTGGTGGTGGTGGGCGTATGAATCGTGATGGAGGAGTGGCTTATGGAACTGCAAAGAACATGGCCCCACGCGTGTCTGCTACTGCTTGAAGACATCAATATCAGGTTGAGACCTGGCTTTACGCCTTTACTAGGATTTTTTTTTTCATTTTTGATTTTTAAATAGTTGCAACGAGAGTGAATTTTTAGCTCATGATCAGGACTACTGGAATATTTTTGGCAGCTTTCCGTTTCCCAATTTTCCTCCATGGGTATAATAGGAATAGCAAATTAGATGGGCAGTATGTTTATTAATATTGTTAATGCGTTGTACTTGGGCAACGTCTGAACTCTGATCATGTCATTGGCACCTTTGTATAATCGTGGAATTATTTTTTGAACTCAGTAATCGTTTCCTTTTACTTATGGTCTTCTGCATTCGGTTTAAAAATTTGTGGTGAGCCAAGTGCAGAAATTTTATAACACTTGTAAGTTGTAATCAGCACTATAAGTTTGAAATGGAAAAAATATAAATCAAATATAAAGCCAACCTTAATTTGGCTTTAGGTCTGGGAAGTTTATAATTTTGCTGGGTAGTCGTGGAAGTTTATAACATAACGATGTCACATTATGATAATAACTGTGATGTGATAGGTGTATTGTTTTTAATATTTAATGATTATTTTGCCATTTAATAGGTCTAAATATCTAATTAAAGACAAAAGAGTAAACAAAAAAAAGTGGCTTTCCCTTAGGGGTGGACTAGGACGGGTTGGCCTGGCGCGGTGAGTCAGGACCGGGGCCTGACCTGGTGAGCCGGGACCACAAACTGACCCAGTGAGTCGGGATCGGGGCCCGACCCGGTGAGCCAGGATTGGGCCACGACTTGGGAGGTTTAATAGGTGGGCTATGAGATCAACATTTGGTGGACTGTCTCGGGTCCATTTTTTTCTTCCCATTGGGTATTTGGGTTGGCTGCTAGGTGGGTGGGGCTGGGCGGTTTGGGTGGTGGGGGAGGGGGTTGGAATTAAATAAAAAAGACAAAATTAAAAAAAAAAAATTATTTCATGCTTGATCCGGTCCGGTCCTGGTACAAACTCAGGCTGGTACCGGACCCGATGTTTTTAAGCCCAACCCTGGCCTAGTCCACCCCTAGTCTCCCTACAACATGTAGGGTTCCTCTTTCCGTCGAGTTTGTTTCATGCGGCATTTGATATGGGAATCTCATTCAAGCTCCTTAGATTTGTTGGCTTTTGTTTTGTGTTGTAGTTTGTTTGTTGGTTTCAATTGACTAGTTTTAGAATCTTTGTACGTCATTCATAGAAATTAGAAAGTGGAGCATAATCAACCTTTTCTTTAAATTTTGCTCCGTTTTGGTATTTTGTCTTCTTGGAGTGCGGTTGCGGGTTGCCTTGGTTTCAAAACACAAAAATCATGGCAACGCTTTATGAACTTCAGGCTGGGTTCAATGGTAAATCTGGAGGAGCAATATGGAAATCTAACACCTAAGTAGGGGTGGACTCGGGTCCGGACCGGGTCCGGGCCGGGTCCGGGCGGGCCGGCGGTTCAAGAATGGTGGACCCGGGACCGGCCCGGGTAGCCACCGGGTCCACAACTTGTAGGTAAATAACCTTCTCCACAACTTGTCTAAGAAGGTGAATGACCTCAGTTGTTGAGCATCCAGGCATAAACCAAATTGATTCCCCAAAATTTTCACACTTTTACGTAGTCTTTGCTCAACCACTCGCTCCCAAAGTTTCATGGTGTGACTCATAAGCTTAATCCCTCGATAGTTAGCACATTCTTGTACATCACCCTTATTTTTAAATAAGGGAATGAGAGTACTCTTCCGCCAACTCACTGGCATTTTGTTGTTTCTCCAAATCATGTTGAAGAAACGTGTTAGCCGCTCGATGCCTTTCTCTCCCAAACTTCTCCAAGCCTCGATCGGTATGATATTTGGGCCCACTACTTTCTTGCGGCCCATTTTCCTCATAGCCTCTTTAACTTCTGTTGTTTGAATCCTTCTCACGAAGTCCCTATTTACCATACACTCTGGTATAGTAAGATAATCAATACATTGAACTTTATTCCCGTTGAACAAGGTATCAAAGTATGACCTCCACCTCTCTTTTAATTCTTCGTCGTCCATTAGTACCCTTTGATCGACATCCTTCACACACTTAACTTTTCCGATATCTTGAGTCCTACGGTCACGAAGGCGAGCAAGTCTGTAGATATCTTTTTCTCCTTCCTTAGAATCGAACTTTACATACAATTCCTTATTCACTTTTCCTTTGGCTTCCTTCACAGCTTTCTTTGCTCTTCTTCTAGCCTCTTTGTACTCCTCTATGTTCTCGTCGCTCCAACTTTTGCCCAATTTCATATAACATTCTCTTTTTGCCCTTATTGCTTGTTTTACCTCATCATTCCACCAAGACGTGTCCATTTTTGGTGGCAGACATCCTTTAGATTCTCCGAGTATCTCCTTCGCCACTTTGTTAATGGTGGACTCCATTGATAACCACACATCATCCACGTGTGCGTCATTATCAATAGACCAAACATCTTCCTCCAACATTTTGTGTGCAAAACTTTGTTGGAGATTCTCCTCGAGTCTCCACCATTTTATATTTGGCTCCCCTTGTACCTTAACTCGTCCCCTCTTTTTACCTCGAAAATCAAGCACAAGCATCCTATGTTGAGTGAAAGCACTCTCACCTGGGATAACCTTAAAATCAGTGTAGCTAGTTCTCCAAGTCGTCCGTACTAAAAAGTAGTCAATTTGGGTACTATTAGCTCCACTTCTATAGGTGACAAGGTGATAGTCTCTTTTCTTGAACCAAGTGTTCATCACAGCCAACTCATATGTCGAGGCAAAATCCAGAATGTTCTTCCCCGCTTCATTTCTAGGGCCAAAATCATGTCCGCCATGGACACTCTCAAAATCATCACGACTTGGGCCCACATGTCCATTGAGGTCGCCTCCTATGACCAATTTCTCTCCCCTTGACACTCGTCACACCACTTCCTCAAGATCCTCCCAAAATTGTTGAGTGATAGATGATCCAATCTCACTTGTGGTGCATAGGCACTAACCACGGACACGATCTCATCCCCTATTATCAACTTAATGCTCATGATGCGATCGTTCTTCCTAAACACTTCAACCACACCCCAACATAATCATATGCCACCATAATGCCTACTCCATTTTTGTTCCTCTCTCACCCGAGTACCAAAGCTTAAAACCTCCGGGATTTAGAACCAATAATAATACATACTTTAGAAATAGAGTCACTTTTTTAAAATGGAGTGTACAACAAAAATAAAATGGAGTCATTTTTTATTTTAAAAATCCACTAATAAGACATTAAAAACTAATATCGAACCAATAAATAATATTCGGAAATACACTTACTAACTTTATATTTTGATACCAGTTTTTTATGAATTACTCCCTCTGTCCCGTTAATATTGTTCCATTTTACCTTTTCAGGAAATCCAACTAAGATTGTCTCATACCAAATTTGGTAAAGTTTGTGTGGCTCTAAATCATTTTTGGTTTATTCCCACTTTATCAATTCAATATCAACCACATAAATCAACTTTTCTTAATAACCGTGTCACCTCCTTCCGTCCCAATGTTAGTGGGACGGAGGTAGTAAATGACTAATGTTTTAGTAAAGAATTGCTATGTATCAATGTTAGTACTATTTATGTTGTTATCCCTAATAATGATCGTCGCCCTTCTATATCAAACAAGGAAGAAATTGGGAACTCCAAATTCAACAGAAGGATTTGCCGTAAATCAAAGCTCGTCACCCTAGAAAACTATCTGCCGACAAAAAACCTAAACACACAACTCAAAATTTACAAGAAATCTCAACAAAACAAAAGGCGACATAGCATGAGGACTAGATCACAGTCCAGAGATTTCCCTTGGGTCTAGTTTTTTCTTTATTTCTTTTTCTTTGTATTCTCTTTTTTTTGTACTTTTTTACTTTTATTTAGCTTCTTGTATTGCACTTTTATTGTTATGAATAAAATCTTCCTTTCTCAAAAAATAAATAAATAGAGGGAAAACAAAAAGTGATGCCTAAGGGGCTAAGGGAATCGACCTCTGCACCTCTGTGAAGTGGATACTTTTAAATTCAAGCGCGCTTCATATACATTGCTCCAATGCCAACTTCATGTTCTCAATTAGCTTTCGCCTTACATATACATTGTATTATTAATTTATATAAAATACATATAATATACTTCGTATATAGGTATTTTTTGAAAGTTCATGGGATCCCGGGACCCCGTGGGACCCTTGGTGGGTCCACCACTGGGTGGAGGGGTTTCATCCTTGCAGTAGTAGTGGAGATACTACATTCAAGATGTTCATACAGAAGAAAGAGAGTGACTAGCCGCGACACACATGGGCCTTCCATTCAAAAACATATACTACATACTCCGTATAATATATTTTTGAATGATAGGGCCATGTGAATCATGACCGATAACAACCCTTTCTCTATATGCGAATTTAGGGTAGGCAGCTCACTATGACACATCTAAATCCTGCAACTATGCTGAAAATTAAAAAAAAAACATGTATTCTATAGGGTGAATCAGTTAACATGCTAAAAATGCATACCATCACTTTCATTGAGATCTTGTCTATTCTTCCATTACCTAACGACTTCATATACATACATGCTTTTTTGTATAATTGTATATACCATCAAATTCAAAGTGAACTAAATACCAGATTGTCATCAGGAACTGAGAAAGAAAGCTCCCCACATGATTCCATGCAGAGGACATGAAGAAACGTGTTTGGATGGGGGAAAGAATAGAAGATGGGATTTGTCTATAACTATCTCTTGATTGGATAAAAAAAATGAGGAAAATAATTCCTCATCTAGTAAAACATGTTTCTCTCCAAAATGGATCTGAAAAGAGACCCCCCTCCCAACTCAATGCACATTTACACATACCTCATTTTCCTATATGAATGATCAGCCATCAACCTTTCCATCCAAACACATCTATCTAAGCACAAGACTTAAAACTATAAGAAATGCCAGTCTCGCTAAATTCTACAATGTCTTCTGTTTGCCCTTTTTGGTGGCTGAATATCATCAATGTTCCTAGCAACACTCTTATCATTACCCTTTTAACTGTATGCACAACTAAAGGTAGAAGGAATCCAGCTTCCACAGCACATTTAAAAAACAGCAGCATAAAGGTTATGTAGATGCGTAAAAGTGTTAGCCGAACAAAACATTTGTTTATTACGTAGAAGAACATGATACCGGGGAGGAGTACTATATAAGCTGCCTGCATGCCTGCCATGTATTTGTAATGTGAAAAATACTTGAACATTGATGAATGAAACTTTATGCATGATTAAAGTTCAACCATAAAAATAGATAACAATTATGGACAATTGGAGATTGTAGAATGTAAACTATTTCAGAAAGTAAATATGCTAAAACTAAGGTTCTATGATGGAATAAATACTAACTTTATGTGTAGGAGGGCGTGGAGAGACTTCAGACACGTGGATAAATTAGTTGAATGAATCTTTTGAACAAAGCTTCAACTATTACCACCACTTAAAGCCCAAAGTTACAAGCCTGGATATACTCGTTCTCAAAATCAACATATTTTGTCCAAAGTGGCCGAAATTGGGTGATGGCAATATCAAGCCATGGCTTCATGTTTCCATTAAAGTGGACAACTGCAGCATTGTCAATTTCGTCGATGCTGATGCTTGGATTGTAGCCAAGCCCTAAAACATGCCAAGACTTATCCAGTGGCTTTGTTGTGGAGTAATATGTTATCAAACCCGGAGGTAGTGTTCCCAATTTCCACAAAGTTCGGTTTTCATTCTGCAAAAGTTAAATACTTCTACCTTCAGAAAGAATTTAAAATGCAATGTTCAAAATATAAATTAAGTGAAATTCCAGAAAATGAAAACAAGCATTTAGAATATAGAAATAGTAAATCCTGCAAAATAACGATCCCCCAAAGTACAAGTGCCAATATAATAATATTACCAGTAACCAGTAAAATAAATAATCAAGTCACGTCTTACCAGAGTCTGCCAGTAATGGTATTGTTCAGTGCATTTTTCATTGCGCCAAGCATCCAAGTCAAAGAAGTTCATCCCATACGCCCATGCACAAGCTTTAGGGTTAAACTTCTCTTTGATCAAAGGATGAGAGAAATTCATGTATTGTGCATAACGATGGAATGAGCCAAAACAAGTCTCCACGGCTCCATTCACTTTACCATCCATATCTATCTTCCAAAGGCCAGTTAAATCCCTCTGAACAACTATATCATCATCCAAGAACAAGATCCTGTGCAACTTTGGGTACATTTCAGGCAAGTAGAACCGAAGATGATTCAATATTGACAGATACTTTGGATTTCTGAATTTCATATTTGTGGTGTCCTTTGTAGCATTTTCGAGCTTATTCTCAAAGTAAAACTTCTGCAGATTAGCCGATTCAAGCTGTCGAAGAACTGGGACATACGAAGAGTTCAAGAACTTGTAATCCTCAACAGCCTTAACTTCAATGTGGGCGCCATTATAGTCCCTCATCTTGAACATAACTTGCATAGCCCCAAGATTCATCTTATCAGTGACAACATGAAACACGTGCATATGTGGGTCTTTTGAATTCTTCACGGCTGAATTCACCACAACTGAAGCTGCAACGACATTGTCAGAAAATATGGCATAATGGTAAAGTTTGGGATCCTCAAATTCAGGTGGAGTGGGCTTTCCTTCATCGGTGTACTTGTCTGGGTGTGCAATGCGCTCCTCCATTAGCCTCATAGTCACACAGTGCAAGCTTTTGGGAATTGATTTTGCAGCAATCAAGCTTGAGAATGCACCTTGCTTTTTTGCTTTTGTTAGTTGATCATTTACAGAAAAAATGGTATCTTTTAGCTTCTGAATCTTTAGCTGGTTATCAAAAGACTCCTTTGCCTCAGCAACGACTTGACGTGTGACTTTGATTCTTTCTTTCACCTCCTTCTCAAACTGCCGAAGCACTGATTCATCAAGTGAATTGGCATCCGATTGAAACAGTGCTTGGTACGAAGGCTTTGAAATCAAATCTGTATAGTTTTGAGACAGTTCAGCAAAGACCCGAACAAGTTTTGAGTTCTCGAGTTTGAGCTTTCGAGCATAGGAAGCATAAGCCAGAGCAAGAGCACGGTGATCATCCGCCTGCTTCCTTATCAGATCAAGTCGTGGCTTTAGAGGATCCGATTTCAGAGCCAGTACAGATCTTCGTAAAGGCCCAACTCCATGTTCATCATGTGGAATCCCCTTGAAGCATAAAACAGTTCGTTACTACAATTGTACTTGCACTAAAAGCGTAAAGACTATTAAAAAATAAATAGGAAGCTAGAAAAGGAAACCAGATCGAATCAATTGCGAGTGACATCTGCTTAATTTCAAATTCAAATACACAATTCACTGAGTTGGTCGTTATATATACCATTAGTAGAAATTGCGCATTCTGAGATCACGTCAACTAAAAACATCGAGCACAAACAGACAATTTTAAACAATAGGATTTTAAAACGGTGAGATCGCTAATGAATTTCTGAAAATAAACAAATAAATCAGAGAACAGCCGACAGAATGCGATGAAAAATGAGAGCATAGCCACGGGATACTTACAATGTTCAGATGGGAAGGACGCGACGAGGTAGTATAGCGTAAAGAGAGAGCCAAAAAGAGAAAAACGGCTAGGGTGAGGGCGGAAGCGAAACACTTGAAGGTGAAGCCGCCATCGGTGGATCTACCGTGAACTCCTCCGGAGACCCGATCCGCAAGTGAAACAGAGCGGGATGTACGGAGTATCGAGTTCTTCGCCATTTCCGCTTCTCTTTCTCCGGTGAGAGAGAGAGATGGATCAGAGTTTAGTGGGGAGTGGGAGTTTCTGAACTGCTGGCTGTATACGCGGTGGACGACGGTGTTGGGTTGAAATAGGACTCGAGAACGGGGCCCACTGTCTTTGCAGAGCGACCCGGATCAGATCGCAATTTAATTCAGATCAATTAATTTTTTAACTAATACTCCGTAATCATTAATACTACATAGTACAATTACTACGGAATGGTGATTAATTAATAACTTAGTAATTAATTTAATCTGTATAATAACTGTAAGTTTTTTAACACACAAGAAGACTTTAATACTGGGTAAGAACATACTACGTATTCATTTATTTAAGCTCAATCAATATATATATATATATATATATATATATATATATATATATATATATATATATATATATATATATATATATATATATATATATATATATATATATATATATAAGAGGAACTTTTTAAGAACATACAAAACGCCACATAATCCTGTCATGTCATCCATCATATATAACAATTATTTAGTTATTTTTATATTTCGTACCTTTTATTTTTATTGGATTCTATTTTTGATTGCATATTGATATGGAAACAAATGACTCTAGATTCCATCACTTTTGAAATAAATAGATTCCTAATCTAAATTAGGAAATCTTTATATGTTTAAAAATTCCTAATTTTGTTTACTCTTAAAATGTTGTTAATTAGATTGATTTCAGTCTCAGACTAAATCAGATCAAATCAAACTTAATAATAATTGGACACATAAAATGTAAAACAAAAATCTACCAGATCTTATTACTTTAGACCAAATCAAAGTTGAAAATTTTAATTCAATTAAAAACGTTCTAATTAATGACGTTTTCAATGTGATGAAATAATAAGTAAAATGTAAAATCTTACTATTAAAAGTATGTACTCCATATTTCATACCAAGTTGAATGAGGAATATTAAAAAATATATTTTGAGGCGCATAATAATGTAATTTAGAGGACATGAAAATAATTAAGAAGTTTCTCTATGAATTCTTTAAAATCGGGTTCATAACAATTATGCTTAGTAGAGAAGCTTATGTAGAAAACCATTTATACTATTTTTCATATAATTTTTATTTATTTAACAAATGGAATATTTTTTTTCCATGATTCAGGATATTCACCTATTCAACCTATTCAACTAGAATTTAATTAATTTCAGCAAAATAAACTGATCCCACCAATATTAGTATTATCAAACGGACTCTATATTTAGACTGAGTTTAGTTTGCTTTTGCGTCACATTATATATGATTCGGAAAACCAATCAAATTTTAAATTAGATAAATTACATACCGCCCGTACATCGCACGGGCTTGAAACCTAGTAGAAGATAAAGTTGAACTATATATGGAGTCATACATTTATATGCTTGACCCCGAAGTTCGGCCAACTGGCCAAGCCCTTGAGGATTTTTTAGATTGAATTTTTTGATGAAATTTTGTGAGCATAATATTCATTAATTGTAGATTATCTTTACAAAATTTCTATTTCAAATTGGACCTGGGAGGTAGTTAAATGTGTAATTGAAAAATATCGCAGTGTTTATATGCGTAGTATATACAAAGCACAGTGTTTTAAATAATTTTTTAAATTACCTTAATTAGACATAAAGACGATCATCTTTACATGAGAGAGTCTTTAACCACTTGACAAGCATATTTAAACCAATAGTAATCCACCCTAAATAAGACACGGGCAGAACCAACTTGAAAACATAAATCAACCATGATGATTTAAAAGTTGAAGTTCAATAACGGAGTATGAGTTTGGAATATCATTGTGAAAAATAATTTTAAAGATTCACCAGTTCAATTTTTAAATTATTTGGGAGTACATGTTAGTCATACCTCACAAGAATATCGGGTAAATCCGTAAATATATGAAGCACACGAACATACTCACTATCGTGATAAATGCGGTTATGATTCACCCATCTAAATTTTGAGCGAGTTCAAGCTATTTATACGGACTACCCAATAGTGAGCATGTTGACATACAATCTATCAAATTTGAGTTCAATTTTAATTAAAATGGTTACCCTTTGAACTTGATCAATTGCTCCGCATTTTAGACTTGTATATATAGAGTTAAATCTAAACGTGTTCCATAATCATATACTATGTATTGAACAACCATAACCCTTATATAAAGAGTCTAGACGATGTCCGCATAGTAATAAATCAATCAAACCCTATCCGTTATGGTCCATATTTAAATGAATTTATATTTTGATCCAAATTCATACTGCACCAGATAGAGTGCACAAAAACATTATATCATATACATAATCATCATACTACTAAACAGTTAAAAGCATACTAATTTTTAAACCAATTATAATAGGCCTAATTTTATGCGTGTGTCTATATATATACACACAAACATATATATATAAACATATATATATATATATATATATATATATATATATATATATATATATATATAAACACACACACACACACACACACACACACACACACATATATATATATATATATATATACACACACACACACACATACATATAGGGTGCGGTTCCAATGAGAACGATGCTTAATGTGAGAATGTGAGAACACTCACATTTAACCCAATGTGATACACAATAGAGTTCGTCTGATGCACATTTTGACTTTGCTCCAAACAAGCCAAAATAAATAATAACGGTGGCATTTTGGTAAATAATCTAAATATTATGCTGAACGTGAAAAAGTGCATTAGGCTAGCCTCATTGTGCATCACAACGGGGTAAATGTGTTATTCTCACGTTCTCACGCTAAGCTTTGTTCTCATTTGATCTTTAATCTATATATATACATATATACATATATACACACACACACACACACACACACACACACACACACACACACACACACACATATATATATATATATATATATATATATATATATATATATGTATATATATATATAGAGAGAGAGAGAGAGAAAAGATCATGTGGGAAGTCCCCCTTAGGCTGAGAAGCTGTGAAGTCTAACTTATAAGCTGAAAACACGAACTTTTAACCAATAAATCATAACTTATAGACCCCCTCCAAAAAAATTACGAAAATGCCACCGCGTCAAAATAACTCCAGAAACCTGATTTTTTTTTGCTTTTCGTAATTAATTTTGAGGGGATCTATAAGTTATGATTTATTGATTAAAAGTTCGTGTTTTCAGCTTATAAGTTAGACTTCGCAGCTTCTCAACCTAAGGGGCACTTCTCACCTGATCCGCTCCCTATATATATATATATATATATATATATATATATATATATATATATATATATAGGGTTGGGTTCTAATAAGAAGACATCTTAGTGTGAGAAGTGAGAAGCTTCACATTTGCCTCTTTCTGATGCACTTTTTCGCTAATCTGATGCACTTTTTGGATGGCAGAAAAGTTCCGATTAATTACGGATATGCCACCGCGTCTAGCATCACTTTTTAAATATTTTTTGCATTTTCCCGTGCACTTTTTTGCTAATCTGATGCACAGATCTTAAAATGAACGCACCAGATGCATTCTCATTTCTTACGATAAGCACTCTTCTCATTTGATCTTTATTCTATATATATATAGGGAAGTGCTCTAATAAAAACCTTTTCCTAGGTGAAAACTGCAAACCCACTACAATCATCTGATGAGAACATCTAATGGACCTTAATGTGGAAGGTGCATACTAATAACGTGGAATGCAACTCAAGGAAACACGAACTCATTACCAATTTGCCGAAATTCTCACGTTTCTAAGGGCACAAAAGTAAAATACAACATATTATTTACGTTTAATTGAAATCACCTCCGGACGAATCCCAAAAATAGCGCTATTATCATCCGCAGTCATAGGAGAGTTTAATTGAAAGGAAGTTGCAGAGGTTATTTGCATGGCAGAAAGTGCAAAGCAAAGGGGCGGCGACAAGGCGTCTGGTGACCGACATGCAGAAGGTTGCATTACCTTTTTACAAAAGTGCTAAGTCAACTAGTTTGTTATTAGTTGGAATTATATTGTGCGTTTGTTGGCATTAAAAGTGCAATAAGTGTTTTAAAAAGTGAGTCAATCGGACACATGAATAGATTTTGGGACGGAACTAAATGAGGAGCGCCGAACCCTAGCTACGCGGCGTTCATCGACGGCCATCGAGATCAACGAAGCAGATCAGATTCCTAAGGTAAGTGCAAATCGAAGAAGGCGATGGCATCACAAGGAGAGCTTGGCGTTTAATCCGTCTATTTCCAAGTTATGCTTTCCATTTGCTTCTTTGTGCTCGTTTGTTTGTGTTTTTCTTCTCCGGGCGTCTGTCACGCGGCTAGTTTTCCAACTCAATTTGGCTGAGACTGAATTGAGGTGTTTCTTCCCAGAACGAAAGGCTGGAGCCCTCTTTATTTTCGTGGTGTGTAGTGCCTATGTTTTATTTGGTTTTAATTTTGGTTGAGTCTTTGCTATGAGTTTGTGGAATTTTGACTGTGTTGTGATGGATATGATTTCGAGAAATGTTTAATGCTTTTAATTGTTGAGGAAGAGAACAAGGGTTTGGTGTTAGCGGCTGACTCGACGGAGAACGCAAATGAGGCTATAGAGGAATTCCATCTAGCGGTTGTGGCTAAAGTGGTTTCCGACAAACCTGTTCGTACTGTTTGTTTTTGCCAAACAATGGCTATGGTTTGGCGCCCAGTCAAGGGAGTTTCTATTGATGAAATTGAGGACTCTAAATTCCTTCTACAATTTTACCACGAAGGAGATCTGAATAGAGTTGTTGATGAAGGACCCTTGTCCTTTGAGCAAAATCTTGTGGTTATTAAACGATTGGGACGTATTGACAAACCTTTGGAGGACCCATTGGATCATGCAGACTTTTGGGTTCAGGTTCATGATATACCCTTAGGCTATATGACGGCACGAGCAGCTCGGGAATTGCTAATAGCATCGGAACACTTGTGCAAGTGGACGAGAGCTCGCTGGGTGGAAAGCAAAGGCTGATTATGCGTATTAGAGTTACTATGAATATTACAATGGCTTTGACTAGACGCCTATAGGTCAGACAGGAGGGAGACAGATGGATCTGGGCAAATTTTCGGTATGAGA